GGCCATACTTTATGTGTTTTTCACTGATCATAATTGGATTCTTTGAGATTATTCTGAAAAAGCACCCTTATGCCCAGAACTTTCTTTTCTGTATTTGAGATTTTTCCCATGGTATGATGACCCAGAGAAGAAAGTACTGATTGAAAAGTCATGCAAGTTTTTAACATTTTCAGTAGTTGTGGACATGTAGCTTTCCAAGTATAACAATTAACATTTATGTTAACAGTATCTGCTTAATCCCATTCTTAACGTGGTATTATTTTTTAAGTTTATTTTTGCCATTTTGATAATTGAGAAGTGCTATCTTCTGGTTTGCTTCAGTTTTGGTATCTGTTTGAACTTTTTTTTTTGAAATATTTAACACTTGTTAGCCATTTGCTTTTTTCTTAAAACTTGTATAAATAGGCAATTCACCATACATTTGTTTTCATTCTATCCTGATCTGTTTGTATCATGCCTTTATTAAAGGTGATGTGAACCTTTTTAAAACCAAATTTTAATGTGAACTATATGTAACTACATTAAATATAAATGGCAGTTTCATAAGTGATTACCAAGTGATCCCTCATAGAAACCATCACTAGATCAAGAAATAGAACATTACCAGTACTTAAGAGCCCCAGAGTATGCACTCCTACATCTTGTCCTGCAGCTGTAACTCATCCAACTTTTCGGGTACTTTATTACACCTACTCTATTTTAAAAATACATATGCCTTCATAAACATTATTGTTCAGTGGGATTTTTTTTGTTTTGATCTTTTAAAAATGGAATTATGCAGTGCACAATCTTATTTGGTTTGGCTTCTTTCAGTGATTGTGAGATGATTCATCCTAGTGGCATATAGCTGCAGATGATGTATTTTTGTTACTGTATAGAATTTCATTGTACAAATTTTCCATAATTTTGTTATTCTGTAGACAGATTCATTTTTTTCCTAGTGTTTGGAAACTACAGATCATACTGTGGTAGTAGTTCTTGCATTATTTCTGAAGCATATGTACATACATTTCTACTGGATAGTTGGGAGGAAGGTAATTGCTAAAACATGAGACTATGCCTATCTCCAATTGCAAAAAACATTTTAGAATAAACTTTTTAGAATCACAAAGTTCATGTATACTTTTTTGTTACAACTAGGACAGTAATTAAGTTAATTCAGCTGCACTTAACTTGGTTTTCACAAGTTTTTTTCCTACTGTTTTTTTTTTTTTTTTCCTTTTTGTATTCCTGGATTCTGTTCATTACATTTAGTCACTTTCTCTTTAGTCTCTTCTGGTCTGTGAGGGTTTCTTAGTCTTTGTCTCTGGTGACCACAACAATTTGAGAAGTTACACATATTTTGTGGCGTGTCCCTCCATTTGGGTTTGTTTGATGTTTTACTCTTGGTTAGACTGGGATTATGGGCCTGAGGGAGGAATAACAGTGATGTGCCGTTCTTAGTACACACCTGGGAATGATGTTATTAACCTTTATCATGGGACTGAGACAATGTTTGTCATGTTTCTCTATAAAGTTGCTCTACTTCTTTATTCTACACTTTGGAAGCAAATCGCCAAGCAGAAGGGTGCCTGCAATGTGATGGGAGGGAGTGAAGCTCCACCTCCTGGAGGAGGGGTATGCAGCAATAAGTTAAAGATTTTTGGAAAGTGGTTTCAACTGGGGCAATTCGCTGCCCTGGGGAAATTTGGCAATATCTAGAAGCATTTTATTTGTCACAGCTGCAGAAGATCAAGAGTTTTAATGGCTTCAAGTGGGTACAGACCAGGAATGCTACTAAGCATCATATAACAAACACATAGCAGAAAATTATCTAACCAAAAATGTCAGTAAAGCTGAGATTGAGAAACTGCTATTGGAGATTCCATGAGGACAATCGAGAAAGGAAATCAGGCAGGTCTATGGGAGGAAATAAACAAAAATATGCTCTTCTCTGGGGTAAATGACATTTCCCCACAGAACTTCTTATTTCTATCCTCAACCATAAAGAACCTCTCCTTCCTTTGTGTTCTCCTAAGACTACTGTAGCTCAGATGACAGCTGTTATATATTTAGAAGTCGTCTTCTAGCCAGGCATTCAGCACAGGTTCTGGTATCATAGATCATGGTGGCACCAATTTCATGTAAATGAACTCCCAGTGCCTAGAAAAAGGCAGCACTACTTAAGAGAAAGAGTAAGATTTGTAGTTGGATAGGCTATTTGTCAACTCTGTGACCTAATTTCTAAGTGTCTGTATCTGTAAAATGTAAGTAAAACCAAACTTTAGGGAGTGTTTTAAAGACTAGACAATCTTGGGGCTGGGGTTGTGGCTCAGTGGTAGAGTGCGCGCCTTGCCAGGTTCGATCCTCAGCACCACATAAAAATAAAGGTATTGTGTCCATCTACAACTAAAAATATATTTTTTTAAAACAGGCTAGATAATCTTTTCATAAAGAGCAGTAGGTACTCAAGAAATATAGTCATTATGAATATGAGCTGAAGGAATAATTTATTTTGAACAAATATTTTAATTATTGTAGGTGGTAAAAGTTCATGTCATTTATTTTAAATTGAAATTCTCTTAGACCCTGGTTGCCCATATTGGTTCAAAACATTTTGGGATAAATGAATATCTTCATATAAGAGAAGTGGCACCAAATTATCTGTTTTTCTCCTGAAAATGTAAATAAAAGAACACAAAACAAAAAATCCCTTGAAAACAACAAATCCATTAAGAAAAGGCCAGAGTATATTGTATTCTAATCAGAATTGCAGATATAATGTAGTTGAAACCCAATAGAATTCTGACTTGAATAAAACTTGTCTCAGAGGAACACAAATGAAAAAAGCGTGGGATTATGAGAGTCAGGGAGCGAGAAAATATCAAGATATAAGGTGTTCTCCATGTATATATAATATGTCAAAATATTCTCTATTGTCATGTATATCGAAAGAACAAATTTTAAAAAGACATAAGGTGTTGTTAAAATGCATTATTATGAATGGTAACTTGTAAGTTACAGGCATGTATTAACTTCCTTAATCCTTATGATGTAGGCATTCTTGCCATTCATGCTTACAGATATGAAAAATGAATCCCCAAGTACCTGTTGGCTTTTGTAACAGCTGAGCTATCTTGGTGTAAGTATAGAGGAGGCAGTTAGATTGAAGTGGACTGAAACTGTAATAAGTAGAGAAGATGCTTTAGAAGTTTTGACTATAAACATGAAGGGTGTATGGTGTGAAGGGAACATCTATGAAAGACTAAATTATATTTGGAAAAGCCTAATGGAAAGACCTCAAAGACGGGGAGAAGTTGAAGATAGAAGAGAGAAAATGAGATGAGAGGTCACTCATGGATCACTTTGAGAACAGTTAATGCTGATGAGATTCAGATCACAGGTGGAAGGATAAGCTACAGAAAGGGAGTAGAGCCCCTTTGTTACAGGAAAGAAGAATAAAAAGGCGTGTTTACAGTGATATCTGAAAATTTTCTAGTTAGGAAGTCAGGAATGTGTTCTATGCCTTACTTTCCCTCACCTGCCATATTCTGTATGTCATGGAGAAGTTTGTATTCCTTTAAAGTTTCTATAAATTTATTCCCTTTTACTACTTTTTTAAAAGTCACTATGTAACCTATTTTTGTCAGATTTATCTGTAATCTAGAATATTTCTGCAGTGTAGTAAAAAAAAAAAACTAAACCTGCTGATAGTTCACCAATAACTATAGGACAAATCCACTTTCCATTTAAGCAATTAAACTGTCCCTTTTGTACATTTTTACTTCCATCGCCTGTCTTTTCCAATACCATTAACAAGAATGAAAGACTGCAAAGGGCAGGGGATTTGAGAGAGATCTAAGCTGAATTCTGTCACTTTTTAGCTCTGTCTTTTCAGGCAGATCACTGAAGAGGAGGTGAGGACCTTGAAGGTATTAGGGAGTGTGTTTAAGTGGCTAACTGGAATGCCCATGCTGAATAAAAAACTGAATAAAGTGGCTGATAAATGAAATGCAGGGCTCAAAAGACTAGAATTTGGTGTTTGAAAAACTGTCATGGGAATCAGGGCTTGAAATTGCTCAATTAACTCTAAGATATTAGTAGAAAGTGAGTTATGGGAGTCTGCAATTTAATTTTAGTAGTAGCTATTGAAACCTGCGATGACGGCATTAGAGTAAAATGTTGGAGTGCAATAAGGTCATGAGAGTTGATGTCAAGGATATGAAAGAATTCTATCTGGGATGAGCTTTAACAGTGAACTTCACCCACAATAACTGATGTTGGGAGTGGGTATGAAAGGAGTTTGTGAGCAAGCACCAGATATTTAGAGCCTCTATGAATTTGTGACCAGACATGATATGGTAAAATGAGATTGTGGGATGTTCCAATTGCATATGTTTCAAGAGTTATAATGTACTGGCAAGGATGCAGTAACAATGTTTTATAGGCTGAGATATGTGTTAGGTGTCTGTGGGGAAGAGAAGGAATCGGGAAACTAATCCATACTTAGTAGGAGCCTGTTCTGTGCCAGGTGATACATGAACCCTACCTCCTTCATACTACATTCCTCTGAGGTTGATTCTCATATCTCTTTGGAGAAGTATAAACTAGGCTGATAGAGGACGAACTGACTTTCAAACTTTTACAGTTCATAAATGGTGGGACTGGGGGGCTGGGATTGTGGCTCAGCGGTAGAGTGCTCGCCTAGCATGTGGGAGGCCCTGGGTTCGATCCTCAGCACCACATAAAAAGAATGAATAAATAAAAGAGATATTGTGTCCAGTTACAACCAAAAAATAAATATTAAAAAAAAATAAATGGTGGGGCTGGGACTGAATTCTGGGAGGGTGGAAAAAGTAATGCAATACAGTGGTCTATGTCAAAGGATTGTTTTATGTCAGGAAATGTATCAGAAAATGCTATGGTTCTCAAATCATACTTTTCCACATGTCCCATTTATTCCATGTTTTTTTAAAATTTCTTTTTCCCCACTGAAGCCTGAATTCTGATCCATGGACAAGATGGCAGATTCATCGTCATCGTTTTCCTTCTTTTCTGATTTTGGGCTCCTATTGTATTTGGAGGAACTAAACAAAGAGGAATTAAGTAAATTCAAGTTGTTCCTAAAGGAGACCACAGAACCCCAGCCCTGTCCGATACCCTGGACTGCTGTGAAGAAAGCTAAGCGGGAGGAACTTGCTAACCTGATTAACAAACACTATCCAGGAGGGCAGGCCTGGGATGTGACTCTCAAAATCTTTGGCAAGATGAACTTGAAGGATCTGTGTCAGAGAGCAAAAGCAGAGATCAACTGTGAGTGATACTGGGGACAAATCTGGGGGGAGGGAGTAGGAAGTGTTTCCTAGAGCTCTTCCAAATGATTCTTTAGAGGGACTTGGGGATTAAACCACTCTAAGGGACATAGGCTTAGTGGTGGTCTCATACATGGGGAGCTTATTAGATCATTTGGGCAACACTAAAGCAGGAGATTTTGAGTAATATCACTCAGCCAGGCTTTTTTACAGGGATAACTTTTTGTACCTATTAAAATGACTAAAGAAATTGACTGATGGGAATTATCCCATCTAATGGCCTTTGCCTAAACGATAAAGTCATAGGTTAAATTCTGAGAAATCTCAAATATGCTTTAAAATATTTGCTGAAATATAATGGGCTAAAAATTACTAAAAGACAAAACAAAGCAAGTATTTTTAGCAATCTCAGTATTATAGACATTTAAAATCCATTGCCCATATACAAGGCTTTACAGCTACAAGTGTGTATACATTGTGCATCTTCATCTTGCTCTAAGGTCAATATAGGCAACGAAACTGAGACTCGTACTACACCATTTACCCTAGACCTACAGAGTAGAAGGAATGGCAAGTTTTGTTTGCACCGCATCATTTCCTCCCTTGGCTAAGCTGGTGGGGTTTGAGGCTCTGTTGCCTCTAGTTTCTTTTAACCCAGATAGTCTCAGAACTGGAGCACTGAGTAGAAATGCTGGATCCTGTTCTGTCCATCACCTAAAATATTTGATTTTGGAAAATATCATGATTCTGTTGGAACTTGTTGCAGGGACAGCCCAGAAAATGGGACCACAGGATGCTGAGGCTGGAGAGGCACCAATTCAGGAGGTGGTGCTGGGTGAGTAGTTGGGTTTTTGTCAGCATTTGAGCTTTTGAAGTATCATGGGGGGCTTATCTCCCAGAGGAACATTGTTCAACTTTTGTTAATATCTTCTAATACCCCACCTGTTCCTGAATATCATTCAGAAAGAGTTGACAACATTGGCTGTCTGGTCCAAAGTCGGAATCAGGGCCATATTAATGCAGGGCCTCAGGAGAGCAGTATTTGGAAATGTCCAGTTAAAAGTTGACAGTGTGATGAACAAGGTGGACTAAAAATTTCTTGAGTTGGCAGAGGACGTACAGCTTATCACATCTATTACCTTCTTTCAGAGTAGTGCTGTAATTGAGTTCCAGGTGACCAACTAGTTCATGTTAATTATAATTTCTGGAACCAGATCTTCTCCATCCTGGTTCATCACCATTTCTAATTCCCTTGTTTTGTTTTGAATTATACTTAGTTGAGTTCTAGCTTCTATAAATGGAATGAAAGTAGAAAGAAAATTGAGCCAAGTGAGAGAACTTTATTTTTAATCTAGCTACAATGTTTTCTAAATGGCCACATTATTTAATTCAATAAATAATTGAGAATATACTTAATTTCAAGCACCAGTGAATACAGTTTGCTTATTAAATGACCTTGACTATAACTTCCCACACCTGTAGTATGAAAAACACTAATGATAATTTTTATTATTTCAAACCTAGTGGGTTTGTTGAGATGTTTGTTTAAATACAGTTAATTATGTCTATATTATTTTTCAGCAATTTGTGATAAAAGTTAACAGTACTTCTTATAGAAACTTTAGAAAATATTATAAGTACAAAATTGAAGATATGAAGAACAGCAATGATTTGATTCTCCTCTTTATGTATATCAATTCCACACTGTTTGAATTATTGTAGTTTCATGATAGGGTTTAGTTTTTGCAAATAGTTCCTCCTCCAACCTACCAAAATGTTTTGGCTATCATATGTTTGCTTATTTCTATTTTTGTTTTTCAACTTCCCATAAGTGAAACAAACCTATTTTTTAAAGGATTCAAAATATCATTTAAAAAGTGGGTTTCTCCTTTTCTCCTCTTCGTATCCCAACCTGCTATTAATATATCTTAGAATCAGAAATGTACAACTAATCCAAGTCTAGTTTCAAATAATATACCACATCATAGTACAAATATAATAACTTGTGTTTATCATTGCTGCCATTTTCACTTAAACATAAGCATATATAAATAATATAAGTAGAATACCTATTTGAAAATATTGTTGTGATTATATTAAAGTGTTATCCATTAAGACATTCTAAAATAAGAAAAATAAATACCTTTATTTTGATGCATATCCTATAGGTTTTGAGGCACATAAAGTTTGTCTACTTTTTCCGGGACAGGATTGTATTAAACAGATTTCCCTGAAACTTGATTTCTTTTTAACTAAATAATTGATATTTTGCATATTTGCATTTTTGCATATATCTGTACTTTATTCAGAAGTTGAACAGTATTCAATTATGATTGCATTCTTTTCTGACACTTCTTGTGTACAAGGAGATTCATCTCTGGGCATGTGATGATGAACTAGGGATATAGTCTCTACCCAAGTGTATCATTTCTTTGAAAGTAATAATTAAAGCTTGTGATATGTATTGTGAATGGAAAATACATCAAGTTTTGAGAATATATGAAAGGGAGAACTATTCTAGGACTAAGATTCAAAGAAGGTCTTTCCAAGACAGTATCATTTGAATGGAGATCTAGGGAGAAATCAAGATCCTAGATTAAGATGAGATTATGTTTGGACACTGGGAATTCTTTTCTTCAAAATATTCATGCTTTGCTTCAGTGTTCATTAATATAAATGAATCTACTTTGGATTATTTTGATGTATAGATTCAGGTTTGTCTTGTTGTCCTCCCTAGTTGCTGTTATTGTCTCTCTTTTTATCTGGATGATGATTCTGGTCACCACATATCATTCTTTTTCTCTATTGAGAAAGGTATAAAGAAGAGAACATATTCTAGAGTAAATCTAATTTTTATTTTCCATAACAATTTAACAGCTTCTAATGCAGGCTTTAAGCCTACAGAAATATTTGTTTTGATTTCTCCATTTAAAAATCTAAGCCATCTTTGATTTCAACCTATATTACTTTTGTAACTCTGGTATTCTTAACATTGCAACTAATGAAATTTGTTTTGATCATGTGTGATCAAATTTGTTTTGATCATTTTTTTTTTGTTTTTCCTGCTCCATTATGTCCTAGGTGGTGGAACAGAATACAAAATTCAAATAAAGGAAAAATTTTTTGACATATTGGTTAGGAACTCCTTGCCGGGAGAACCTACAGATTTCCATCATGGAATTATTCAGGAAGAGAGAAACCTATTGGAGCATTTGTTTGATGTGGATGTCAAAAGTGGTGATCAGCCACAGACAGTGGTGCTCTGGGGAGTTGCTGGAGTTGGGAAAACAACATTGATGAGAAGGGCGATGTTAGAATGGGCAGAGGGCAATCTCTATCAACAGAAGTTTGCCTATGTTTTTTATCTCAATGGGCGAGAAATTAGCCAGCTGAAAGAGAGAAGCTTTGCTCAATTGATATCAGAGGACTGGCCTAGCAATGAAATCCCCATTGAAAGTATCCTGTCCCAGCCAAGTAGTCTTCTTTTTATTGTTGATAGTTTTGACGAACTGAACTTTGCCTTTGAGGAACCTGAGTTTGCACTTTGTAAAGACTGGACCCAAGTACACCCTGTGTCCTTCCTCATGAGTAGTTTGCTGAGGAAAGTGATGCTCTCTGAATCATTCTTGTTGGTGACATCAAGATTCACAGCTTCTAAGAGACTGGCATCCTTGTTGAAGGACCACTGTTATGCAGTGCTACTAGGAATGTCTGAGGATTCAAGAAGGGATTATATTTACCAGTTTTTTGAAGATGAGACATGGGCCATGAAAGCATTCAGTTCATTAAGAGACAATGAGATGCTTTTTGACATGTGCCAAGTTCCCCTACTGTGCTGGATCATCTGTACTTGCCTGAAGCAGCAAATGGTGAGGGGCAGCGATGTCACGGTGATCTGCCAAACAACCACAGCTCTGTTTATGTGCTGTATCTCCAGCCTGTTTGCACCAGTAAATGGACACTCTCCTAAACTGCCCAATGAAGCTCAGCTAAGGAGCCTGTGCCACTTGGCTGTCAGAGGAGTATGGACCATGACACATGTGCTCTACAAAGACAATCTCAGGAAACATGGGTTAACCAGATCTGACCTCTCAATTTTTCTGGACGCGAATATTCTTCAAAAGGACACAGAGTATGATAATTGCTATGTGTTCACTCACCTACATTTTCAGGAGTTTTTTGCAGCTATGTTCTATATGTTGGAAGTCAGTTGGGAACACAGAGACCATTTCTTCCAGTCTTTGGAGGACTTGAAGCTATTACTTGAAAGTGAAAGTTGTCAAAACCCCCATTTGAGGCAAATGAAATGGTTTCTGTTTGGCCTTTTGAATGAAGATAGAGTGAAACAATTGGAGGACACTTTTAATTGTAAAATATCCCTGGAGTTAAAATCAGAGTTACTTCAGTGGATGGAAGTATTTGGAAAAAGTGACACTTCTTCATCACAGCTGGAACTTCTGGACTTGTTTTTCTGTCTCTATGAGACTCAAGATGAAGCATTTGTAATCCAGGCAATGAGCTATTTTCCAAAGGTTAAAATTGAGATTTGCAAGGAAGCCCATTTGCTTGTGTCTTCATTCTGCCTTCAGTACTGCCAATGTTTGGAGACCATTAAACTGTCTGTGACTATGATATTTGAAAAGCCGTTAAACTCAGGCCCTGTAGCTGACACTTGGTAAGTGCCCTGTGGGGGGGATAAAGAAAGTAGATTTTGTTGGAGGAGGAGTTGAACCAAGGTCCCAGAGCTGGGATAACCTTAGAGAGCTGATCCACTCTGTGGCAAGGAGGCCAGGCATTTAAACCCCTATTGACCAGTCTTGACTGCTATAAGAAATAAGCAAAAACTTGCTTGAGCTGGCTTTTCTGGTTTGAAGGCAAAATTCTAGAAAAGGCACAGGGATGACAACTCTCAGCTGTCAGCATTCCCAGCAACTCGGGGAAATGAATACTTCAGTTCTGAAGGAAGGATATGGTGTCATGCAAACTTGCATCCATTGTAGGAAGTATATTCATTTTTAAAAACAATCCCTTCCAGAAAAATAAGGGGCCAGAAACTACTTGCTGAAGCTGATACACAAAGGTCATCTACCTGTACTGTGTACCCCCGTACTCTACTGACCTAGCTCACCTTCCCATTGTCTAAAGGTAGACCTTTAGTGTATGTGCGCATGCTTTATGAAAGATCTCAGCCCTTTAATGCCTATGTAAAGACTATCAGAGGTTAGTAAGAAATAATAGGTGCTGGATAAATGTGTTTTTTGTTTTTTTTAATATTTTTTTATTTGTAGTTGGACATAATACCTTTATTTATTTATTACTATGTGGTGCTGAGGATTGAACCCAGGGCTTCACACATGCTAAGCGAGCACTCTACTGCTGAGCTACAACCCCAGCCCTGGATAAATATTTTTTAAAAGAATAATTCACCTTCAGCATTTTATGTATATTATTTGGCCCTATTCCCATCCTCAAGTTGACTTTTCTCACCTACCCATCTAAATCTGGGGGACAAATTGAACTATAGAATTCAGTTCCAAATTTAATTAAAATTGAGAGCTTACTTGGTTTCATAATGAGCCAGACACTCAACATGTTGTCCAGCTTAATGCTGATAGCAAGAAAATTATACATCTTATACATAAATATCTATTTAAGGTTTCAAAGCTGAGATTCAGAGGTTTACCTAGAAAATAAGTTCTTTTTTTTTAAAGAGAAATTTTTAATATTTATTTTTTAGTTTTTGGTGGACACATCTTTATTTTATTTGTATGTGGTGCTGAGGATCGAACCCAGCACCCCGCGTATGCCAGGCCAGCTTGCTACTGCTTGAGCCACATCCCCAGCCCTAGAAAATAAGTTCTTGATTCAAGAACATCAAATAAGACAAACACTTGCTGAGTATTTACTGTGTACCTGACAGTCTTCTAAGACCTTTGATTTATTTTTTCCAACAATCCCATGAAGTAGATGCTCTCTCTCATTTTACTTATGGAAAAAAAAAAAAAAGACACCACAAAGGCATAACTTGAGTGAGGTCACACATCTGAGTCCCCTGAGACTTTAATTTTCCAACTTTTTCCCCAGCTGTTCCATTGGACCTATACACAATTACAGAAGCAGCCATCTCTTAAGAACATATATTTCCTTTTCCTCTGAACCATGATAATAGAAATTGGGGGCTGGAATGCTCTGACCTTTACTTTTAAGGAGTTCAAGTAATTTTCTTCAGTCAGTTTTCTTAAGTCTGACTTCCTTGTTCCATTTCAAGAAGATGTGACTGAACCCAGGCCTAAGAATGTCTTTTATACTTAACAATAAATGTTTGGAAGTCTGGCCACTAGATTGTCAGGCCTCATGCTAGCTTCCCTCACTTATGTTGCAGAGTTGCTAATGCTAGAGTTGGCCTTGTTGCTAAAAATTTTTAAAAGGACCTGAGAACTCAAGTTTTAAAAGGGTCATTGTAGGTGACTTCAGTCTATTCTACAAGATAACTATATTGTAAACTTGTCTCATTCACCATTTTGTCTATAGCATTTGTACATAGGAAATATTTGAATGTTTTATTATGTTTTCACAAATTTGACCTTAAGTGGTAGACCATTACTCTGTAGTACCATTCATTCCAATTTAATTAAGGTATTGGAACCAATTTATTTAGTAACTATTATGAACAAAGCAACAGATATTTATAGTAAATATTTTATACATAATTTATTTACTAAATATTTCAATGTAAATGATAGCTAACAATTGTTAGGAAGCCCTTAAAACCTGAGACACTTGCATTTTCTATAGGTTGCTTTGCTGAACTTTCACAGTTATCATAAGAGATTCTCAACTTTATTTGCCAAGATGAATAAGCTGAAGCTCACTTGATTAGTAAATTTTTCAATTAGTGAGTGGAAGAGTTGAGTTGTTCTGTGTTCTAGAGCTTATGCTTATTAGTCACCAGGCTACTTCTGTTTTATTCCTTTACCACCCTTTATTCATCTTAGAGTCTTTGGTAATATACCTGATAATTAACTCGTTCAGCATTTTAATGTTTGCAGGTGCTTCTGAGTTCCCACTTATCTTGACTATTGAGTCTTCACAACCTTATAAAGAGAGAAGACATTTCCATTTTATAAATGAAGAAATCTTGGAGCTCATGGAATTGATGTGATGTATCTAAAGTATTATAATTAGTTAAATGATAAGGCTCAAAGCCTTTGGTTCTTAATATATAACATACCACACCACACTAAATTGCTACCTACTAATCCTAACCTTACTTTGTGGTCATATGCTTTTTTTTTTTTTCCTTCATGACATTGACTCTTCAGATATTTGATCTCTTGTTCTTCCCAGGTCTCTTCCTCCAAAGAGAAATCTCTCTAGTTTTAATTTTTTTGTGTATTTAGGGAGTGGATAAGAGATGGGGAAGCTATTAAGAAAACAAAACTTCTAGAAAGATGCCAAGTAAAGAGAAGACTTACTGCTGGACCATGCCCATGGCAAAGCTGCACTGAATGCTCCTCCAGTTTCCAAAGCACTTTTACTTTTATACTAATATCATCTTCTGAGAGTTGACTGAGCTGAAATAGATCACACATCTTTTTCTTCTTTCCACTCATATATAGGCAAAGGGACAATGATCGTATTATCCGTTGCTGGAAAAATCTCTGTTCTGTGTTTCACACAAATGAAAACTTGAGAGAATTGGAACTGTATCATAGTAACCTTGATGAATTAGCAATGAAGACTTTCTGTCAAGAACTGAGGCACACAAATTGTAAACTACAAAAACTACTGTAAGTCTGGCATAAGAAAATTTAATGGAGTTACTGATCTTATTTTCCACTTTTATTAGGGGAAACCAATGGTAAATAAATAGTCATGCAACACATAATAACGTTTTTGTTAATGACAGATGGTGATATGATAAAATTCTATCTCCTAATGATCTCATAGCTATCTTGGTTTCTGTAAGTCCTATCATTTATGTTTGCAAAACAACAAATTGACTAATGACACACTGATCAAAATGTGTTTATCATAATGGTACTTTAAAATCCTTTGTCAAAATACTGTTAAGAACACGAACAGCAGAAACTTTTGAGGATATGGGAGCATAACTAGTTTGGGGAAAGATTCTACAGGGTGTGATAATTGTTCACATGAGATTTTGAGGCTTGATTAGGAATTTTCTAGGTAAAGAACACAGAGACATGGGGAAGTTGGGACTGTAGCTCAGTGGAAGAGTGCTTGCCTGACATGTTTGAGGCACTGGGTTTGATCCTCGGCAGCACCACATAAAAAAGTATTAAATGCACACATCTGTTTTTTTTTAGTTGTCGATGGACACAATATCTTTATTTTTTTATGTGGTGTTGAGGATTGAACCCAGTGCCTCACACGTGCAAGGCAGGCTCTCTACCACTGAGCTACAGTCCCAGCCCTTAAATGTGCACACTTTTTTTTTTTTTAATATTGTTTTAGTTGTACACAATACTTTTATTTACTTTTATGTGGTGTTGAGGGCCTCACACGTGCTAGGCAAGCATTCTACTACTGAGCCACAACCCCAGCCCAAGTACACACATCTTTTAAAAAAAAAACAAAACAAAACCCACAGACATTCTAGGCAAATCAGCAAAACACTTTCAAAGACAAGCTCTAGAATTTTCTACTACTTCTTCTGAAATTGTTTTTTTTTTTTTTTTTCCTTGGCGCTGGGGATTGAACTCGGGGGCACTCGACCACTGAGCCATATCCCCAGCCCTATTTTGTATTTTATTTAGAGACAGGGTCTCACTGAGTTGCTTAGCGCCTTGCTTTTTTGCTGAAGTTGGCTTTGGACTTGCAATCCTCTTATCTCAGCCTCCCAAACTGCTGGGATTACAAGCATGTGCCACCGCACCGGGCCTGAAATTGGTTTTCTATTGAATAATTTACATTCAATAAAATGCCCAGATATAAAAAAATGTTATATTGTCACCAATACCCAAAACAAGATAAAGTATTTTCTTCATCTCAGGAAATTTCCTTGTAGCCCTTCCTATTCAGTCCTTTCATGTCATCCAGTCCCAGAGGCAATCATATTCTAATACCTGCCATCGTGGGGCAGCTTTGTCTTTTCTTGTAAATCCTTTAGTTTAACTAATACAGTATATGCTTGTTGTGTCCATCCTATTTTTTTAAATATTTGAAAAATGTCTTTCTTACATATTTTAGTCTTTTTCTTATTACTGACTAGCATTTCATTATATGACTATACTACAGTTTCTTTATTCATTCTCTTGTAAATGGAACCCTGGGATTTTCCTAATTTTTTCGCTGTTTTGAGTAAGACTGCTTTGAATATCCTTTGAATTCTTTCCTTGTGACATAAGTTTTCATCTTTGGTGAATACTTGGGAATGGAATTGCCGATTAATAGATGTATGTCTTAAAAAATGGACAGTTCTCCAAAGTGATTGTGCCATTTTGTAGTCCCAAGAGCAATATATGGAAGTTCTAACTGCTCTTTATATTTGCCAACATTTGTTGCTATCAATCTTTTAAATTTTGTTAATTTGGCTCTCATGCTCTTATTTTTAAAAATGTGTTTGTTTGCATGTCCCTTGCATTCTGCTAGAACCTGGAACTGATTTTATTTCCCTCTATATTTTAGTGCCTGTCTCATATGCCCAAGGTCCATTGGGTGCTTAGAAGTATGTATTGAATGCTGAACAAATGATGGATCCTTGTTTCTATCAACCCTGAATGCTCTTTCAAGGGGAAAGAGGCTTCATTAAACATTTCCTCAGAATCTGTGTTTTTAGTGAGTTCTGGTAATAGATTTCAAGTAACTAGAGTTCATTGGTCTTGTAGATTAAGGAGTTGAGGAAAGAGGGTATATGCTATGATTAAAGCGTTTTTGGAAGTCCTTTTCACTCATTTCTAAACCTCTGGCCAACATTATCCCTTCATTGAATGTCACCAGTCCAAATCTTAAAAACCAAACCAAAATGCTGCCTTGTTGGTTAAATGGATTCCTCTTTTAGAATGCAAGGGTCTCTGAGAGGGATGACACTCTGGTGACCATTCTGTCTTTGCAACCTTAGTGGTAGTTCCTTTACTTTAACAAGTGAGACTGCTTCTGATTTATATTTACAGAGTGCTTTAGGCACTTTTATTAGATGAGGATGGTTAGTGTGACAAGTGGATAAAAAAATATTTATTTTCTTGTGGATGATTGGGGGCAGAGATGATGGGAGAAAGGGTAGTGATCAGAGCGGAGGGGAGGTGGTATCACAAGAGGAGGTTTCAAACAGTTAAGTGTGAACAGACTGGGAATTTGGGGCCAGCAAAGGCACTACAGAAGAATCAGACATATTGACTGAGTTAGCAGATGGAAAGTAGGAAAGAATATTGGAAAATTTAACTTTATATTTTGCTTCAAATTGCCTCTGTACACCTAAAAACATCTGTAAGATTACAAGGCATATTTTGTAACAATGTGTTTTGCTAATGATGTGTACCACACAGTTGATATTAGCTATGCACTCATTTTGATTACTTAAAGATTTTAATATTGTTATTTCATGTTATAGTTGCAGTATTTGGAACAGTGCTGATGATTTTGGTAGTCATTCCTGAGATTAAGTCTTCAGAAGCTACTCTCTGCTCTTCCTGATATTATCACCTTTTTCCTTTAAGGTCAAAAAGGTTGGTGGTGTCAGGATATAAATGGAAATCAAAGCTGTAACACAGTTGCTTGTCTAAGCAATACTCTGAAACTCAGATTAATTATCTGACCTAAAATATGAGAAACCCAGTCAGATAAAAGATGAAAGTAAGATAAGAAAATACTTATGTCATATCCAAGAGTTGAATATGAATAGAGAGGGGTGCTGTAACCAGAGATAGAGATGATTTTGTAATTCCTTCTGCATATTTTTTCTTCTGAAGGTTGAGATCTGTCGCCTTCCCTGATGATTGTCAGGGTATATCTAGTTTGTTGACTCACAACCAGAATCTGATGCATCTTGACCTGAAAGGGAGTAAAATAGGGAATAATGGAGTAAAGTCATTATGTGAAGCCTTGAAACACCCAGAGTGTAAACTACAGAATTTGAGGTAAGATTTGAGTTTTTTATATTATTATTGAGATTTTGATCTGTCCAAACAGATAGCCAAACAATGTATTAATGATGACAGGGTGCAGTGCTGGAGCAGGCTCAGTTTTACTTGAGTTTTGATAATGAATCCCCCTCATTTATAACTGCAACTCAGTAACAAGACCAGAGGTTGAGAAAGAACAGTGTGGCAACTGTAAAGGTGCTTGCTTATTATCAGATATTTATCTTAGTGTCAGCCGTCTACTGATTTTTCCTTTAAGAATGTGAAAGCATTAGCAATCATACTTGTTCTGATGATTAAAATCTGTGACATATTTTAAGAAATATATTATTTTTCAGTGAAGATCAAATAAATCAGTTTCTGACAAAATAAAAAATCATTATAGTAGGTTTTATCTTATAAGTTTTTGTAATCCCTAGACTCAATTCAGTTGGCCAAGACTGAGTCTTGATGCATGAAGGGCCAGGTATGCCACCGTTGTGGAAAGAAAGGTGTTGGAGAGATAATTGATATCTGAAGTGAATCTTTCTTGGATTCTGTGACCAAAGGAATTTTTTTTTTAAAAAAAGTCTTACTGGTTTCTGCATGAAATTAACCTATAGCATGTCTGGAGAGTTCTTGGATAATTCTTAAACATGGGTTGAATGCAGTTGTCATCAGGCCAGGTTGGGGCAAAAGTTTTACAGCTGTGAAGTAGTTTTAGGACATTATGAATAATTTCTGTAACCTGCCCTTCTGATCTGTAATCCAGTAAGAAGTATGTAACTGGTTCCCATGTCTAAAAATAAAATGTATTAGTAGCATAAAACCTGTTAAATGGTAGGAAAGATATTTCTTAAAGTGGGAGCTGTGTATCTAAGACAAAAAAATCTTGGCATGAGACAGATCGGCAATTGAGGTTTGAATAAAGTCTTCTGCTGAAATTCATTAACTTTTGCTACCTTGATGAAGACCAAGTTAGCAGGCTTTCAAGTGGGGAATCATCTCTGTGGGTTAACTATTAGGGCTTCTTATACCAGTGATTAGATGCTTTTGCAATAATGTAATTTGCAATAACGTAACATTACATTGTGGAAGGACTGGATGTTTTTTCATTGTGGGTGGCCACTAGAGAGTAATTGATGGTCTCCCAGACCCCCTCTTAACATTTCATATAGGAAAACTTCCAGTTTTCTGTTTGCCGTAAATATCCTGGTATACGAGCCAGTGGCAGTATGAATGTCCTCATTTAGTCTGGTTTTTGCATAAATCATACTGAACTGAACTCTTCAGAATTGTGTTTTGATGGTTTATTCTCCCTAATTCCAGATGGTATGGGCAATAAAGTGTTAATAGATTAGTGGGTCTTTGTAAGTATGCCCTGCAGAGTATGATCCCCAATTATTGTCAGAACTTTGCATATTTAGAAATAAGATATTCTAGAAAACTTTAAATTGCTGAGGGATTCATTTCAGCCTTTGTACCTGAACTTACTGAAAAGGTAAACATAATCACTAATTTTCACAGAAATGTTTCACTATAATATTTACTAAAGTTTCAAGAAAAGAAGGGAGAAAGGTCTGTTCTTCATGTCTTCATAACTTTTTCCACATTGTGGGCCCAATAATAGGTTATTTATTAAAATATGCTGGGAAACATAGGGGGAAAACTGAAAACTAAATACATTAGAAGTATGCCAATAATTCCTAATTGTGTCCAGACTCCCTTCTTATACTGGGAGTCACAAACAATGTGAGGGAGCAGTTCTTGGTTCCATCAGACACGAGTGTCAAATGGTATAAAGACAAAACACATCTTAAAATACTTCTAATTAGAAGACTAATATATCATAAGGAAAGCAATCACAATAATTGAATAAAAGAAACATACCTGAGAAAGGCAAATATCCACAACAGTGCTGCAATAACTAGAGTAAAATATTGGATAACAGGTAAATAACATATGGATCAATAGAAATTTTTGCTTCTATAGGAGTGAGGAGCCCTTCTGGTTTATGTGCTTCATGACTGTAAATAATTATAATAATGAGTCATCATAAATATGAACAGCCTTTGGAGAGGGTACATGCTTTGGAACCAGAAGTTCTGCTACCTGGGCACATTATTCAGTGTGCAGAGAGTTGAAAACTAAATATCAGTCCTCTCTTCTCCATTTCAAAAATTTTTCTGGTATTCACTCACTTTTGTAAACTTGATTATGGTATGTATACTGTGTATACATGCTAATTATACCAACTAGGCTTAAATGAAATATCACTTAAAATTTTAAATCCTAACTTTTAAAGCAGAAATAACATGGAATATAAGGAAATATATATATTTTGCTATTTTAATTTGAATAGTATGAAGAACAAATGGGTGTTAAGAAAGTAAATTGTGGGACTGGGGATGTGGCTCAAGCAGTGGTGCGCTCACCTGGCATGCGCAGGGCGCTGGGTTTGATCCTCAGCACCACATAAAAAAAAAAATAAAGATGTTGTGTCCACCGAAAACTAAAAAATAAATATTTAAAAAATTCTTTCTCTTTAAAAAAAAAAAGAAAGTAAATTGTGTGGTAAGAAAGTAATTTTCTGTCTTAAATTTTTCTAGAAAACTTTGATACACATAAATTGCTAACTTATTTTTAAAATATTATAACTCCAAGGTTCCAAAATTGGTTACAAAGTTTAGAAACTGTTTCTATATTTAAGTTAACGTTAAAGATAATATAACTACCACCTTTGATATCTAAGATTATATCAAAACAATGATACCTCAAAACTTGACCCAGATAGTATATAATTGCAATATTCACTGATTACAATTTATAAATATGCTGGTAACTTAACTCACTTTAATCATATTCCCACATACATGCTTTTAAATATTAATGTAATTAATGTAAGCATAAGAGATTTAAGAAATTTAATTTTCACTGTTAAATACAGTATATGGTCTTATGTGATCTAAAAACAACATGTTTGCATTTTTTGTTTTCACTGTGGTAAAAATCAGAAGGCTATACAGCCAGCCATCTTTTAAATTTCAAATTTCAGAAAATTAATTTAATGATTTTTCCTTGATTTAGAGTAGGCCCTGAGGCCTATCCTGTTAAAAAGGTATCTTCTCTTAGGAACACAATTCCTCTGTCACCTGTGGTACATTCATACTGATTCTCAGAGAAAGACAGCTTCTGCATGTTGCTTCAGCAACAACCCTCTCCTGTCATCCCTGAATTTCTAATGATGTCATAAAAGTAACCTCACAATCAAACAAAAAAATTGGAAAATTCTTGAGCAACCTGGAAATACTTAGCAGACATTTTCAGAAGAGAAAAATAATGTTCAAACAGCTCTCCCAAGTTTCTGTGGTGCTCATCTTCAGAGTTACAGTTCCTCATGACTGAGGAATAGCAGCTTTCTCTGATGGCAGTTTTCTGATCTTAATCTGCTAGCAGCACAGGAGAACTTATTCCACTGGGGATTAACTCATAAGGAAAGCCACATCATCTTGCATCTGATAAAATTCTACCCTGACCAACTCTCAAACCAAGAACTTATTCCAGGTAGAACATGGGTCCCTTGCTCTGAGTCATCTGTTTGTAGAGCCACCTTGTGGATCTATACCCAGTGACATCTGGTCAGAGCCATAGACAAGAATCAATAAGGCCAGTTAAAAAAAAAAATCATAATTTGTGTATTTTTAAGGGGCTTTAGGAATTTCTAGCCATGAGCCTTAGTTTAGTGCTACTATTGAGAAATAGTTGGGCTGGGTGTGGTGGCACATGGCCTGTAATCCCAGCAGCTCAGGAGGCTGAGACAGGAGGGTCAAAAGTTCAAAGCCAGCCTCAGCAAAAAAAAGTGAGGCACTAAGCAACTCAGTGAGACCCTGTCCCTAAATAAAATACAAAATAGGGTTGGGGATGTGGCTCAGTGATTGAGTGTTCCTGAATTCAGTCCCCAGTACAGAAAAAAGAAAAAATAATTGGGTAAGCTCTCCAGAAGAAACTAAATGTAAGATAAAATAATCTGTTTTGTTGGCTTATATTTAGGTGTCAGTTTGGAGCCATAATCCCTTAGCAGTTTCTCTCTTGATAGAATTACTGGTGATTAATGTTATATCTTAATATAAATGACACATTTCCTCCTAACTCTAGAAAAAACAGGAAACAGTGTCTTAGTCTGATTTCTGTTGGTAGTAACACAATATCCCAGACTGGTATTTTAAAGAGCTTTATTTTGGCTCATGGTTCTGGAGGTGCAAGGTTAAGGGGTTGAATCTGCCAATGGCTTCCTTACTGGCAGAATTCTGAGGTGGTGCAAGACGTAACATGGCAAGAGACGGGATGCGTATATCCTCTGGTCTCTTAGTCTTTGTATAAAGCCACCAGTATTCAATCACTTGTATTCATCTACCCTGATGACTTTCCTTATCACCACCTAACAGTCCCATTTCTAAAAATACAGATTAAATTTCAAATTTCTGTCCTCTTAAGAACCCCCAAAGGGATTAAGCTGTAATATCAGTTTAGAGAGGACAAACCTTATTCAAATCATCACACTGTTTTTTTTTTTTTCTACTATTACTTCTATGCAAGGGAGGGTTCCAGTGATCTTTTTTAAATTTGACAAAATATTTTTAATATTTAGGAATTCAGAAATATTAATTTGAATGTTAAGAGTTACATATTATTTCATATGACAGTCAAAACTTAGTAGTTAAGGGTTGTTTTCACAAAACATAGCAATGATTTCTAAAGTCCCAAGTAATTGAGAGCCTTAGTTATAAGAAAACATTCATTCTTTTTTGGAGGGTACGTTGTGGGGATTGAACTTGGGGACACTTGACCACTGAGCCACATCCCCAGTCCTATTTTGTATTTTTTATTTAGAGAAAATAAAAAATACGAAATAGTTGTTTTTTCTGTACTTGCTTAGCATCTCCATTTTGCTGAGGCTGGCTTTGACAGAATCCTCCTGTTTCAGCCTCCCAAGCTGCTGAGATTACAGGTGTACACCATTGCAAACAGCAAAACATTCACTTTTATAAAATAGTTTCTGACTTATAAACTACCTGCTTTTCTTTGCAGCTGCAAAATAAAGAACATTTTATGAAGTTGAGATTCATTCATCAGGAGTTAGGAGGTTCCATAGGTGAAATTTCATTAGTTAGCACTAAGAAAAATTGGAAATCTCAAGAAACTCAAACTTCTAATGTGGAAATGATTTAAGCAAGCATTAAAATGTATATATTATAGTTAAGCATTTAATATTCATGGTTAAAAACATTTTCAATTGTTATTTCCAGCTTTCTATTTTTTTTATTCCTAAGTGAGAGCTATTTTACTTCATTTTTGTTTTATATACAGATGTGTCCAGAAACTTGTAAATACTCACTTTTTAATTTAATTGGTGGTCATTATTCTTTAGATCCCCTCCAAATTGCCTGAGTTATCCAATTCAAAAGGATTTTGACATTTTAATACTTTTATATAAAGTAATGCATTTAGCATACCTCTATCATACAGTTCAAGTATGTTAATTTAATCTGGGATTACAGGGTACATATTTTATACTTTTGGACACTTTGGATACTTTTCTGAATTTTTTTATGACAACATGAATATAATTATTCAGACTTAATTTCCACATACAAAATTTTTGTCAGTGTATATTACCAGGTTTTGTTTTCTTAAACTCCTTTTCCATTGTTAAAAAAAAAAAAAAAAAAAAAAAAAGCTTAATTTTTATTAATTACATTCTTGGTGAGATTGTAAACTAATGACTTATTGAAATGTATGTGAGTGGTAGAGTTTGATTTATGTCCTTCAATTGCCTTTATAGATGTATGACAGCTTACCAGGGTCCTAGATCTCCACCCTGTTCTCCGAACTTTTACTTTGCTATATTAATTTCTAACATTCAGTGTTCTAAAGAGTAGTATAAGAATAGCCTGGTGGCCTGGGGCTGTGGCTCAGCAGTAGCACACTTGCCTGGCTTGTGTGAGGCTCTGGGGTTCAATTATCAGCACCACATATAAATAAACAAAAGGTCTATCAACACCTTAAAAAAAAAAAGCCTGACTCTCAAATCTGTAGTCTCTCTCCCTGCCTCTGCAGTTTGTAGTATTTTGTCTTGTCATTGATGATGATAGGATATATTTTTATTTCTTTTGCCTAAAATATCTTTTGGTGCAGGGCAATCTCTTTTTACTCAGCAAGGATTTCTTTAAATTGAATTTTGTAAAATGGCTTCAGTTCTTTTCCTCTCTTTTTCATGCTGTTTTTCAAAAGCACCTAATGCTCATTGATTATAGATATTTTTTCCTATGTAATTTTTAGTCAGTTTAATGTTTGGTTTCCCCCTCTTTTTTTCTTGGGAGTTTCTCAAACTTATTTTCATTAATTTTAATTTACTATTTTTTACATCTAACTCAGATAGCAGATTTCTTTTTGATTTTGTTGGATTCTTGCATCCTCAGCCTGTTCTCTTTCTCTCAATCTCACTCCCCTTGTGCTATTACTTGTTTCAGAGTCTTTATCTTCCTATACATTTAAAATGAAAACAAATCCTTCCACACATTTTCTCATGTCCCCTAGTTTTCTCTTTTTCATACACTTGCCCCTTAGTGTAATATCTTTCTGTAAGAATTTAATATTTTATCCACAGGTCCTCATAATATTGAATCTTCTAGTCTTAGAAGAGTTCTGCACAAACAGAATGACAAGAGTCCCCCCTTTTTTCCCCAACTACCTGTGTGGCTGCTAATACAGTGTCCCCTCGATATAGTTCTGCTCAGGCTGCCATACCAAAATGCCATGAACTCTGAGTATCTTAAACTTATTTCTCAATATTATGGAGGTTGAAAGATCAAGAGCAGACAGGATTGATTTCTGGTGAGGTCTCTCACCTTTTGTTTTCTTGCTGTGTCCCCACATGGCCTTTTTTATGTGTACTTGCCCACTCTTTGTATCCCTTTCCCTTCTTATAAGTATGCCAGTACTATTACATTAGGACCCTACTCTTTTCACTTCATTTAACCTTATTTACTTCCTTAAAGGACCCACCTCCAAATACTTCCACATTAGGAGTTAGCATCTCAACATATGACTTTTGGAGGAACATAATTCAACCCAGAACACTTTTTTTTTCAGGGAAAATTAAGATTTTCAGCCTTTGGTCATACTCTAGGTCACCCATTGTATCTAATTCTGGACTGCAGGGGGGAGCTTTTTCCTGTTCCTGCCTCTGTGTACCCTGATTTTGATGGAGAGAACCGATTCCTGAGTGCCTCAAGTTGTTAAGCCCTTTATTAAAGGGAATACCTGGAGCAGCTCCAGCTGCCAAGAACCCTGTGCTGCCTGACTCTTCTCACACATTGTTGGTATCACTCCCAGTGTATGGAGCACAAATTATTTTCAAATAGAAATCTCTTTCAAGATTATTTAGAAGGATTCTATGTGTACTTTTTCTACTTCATTTCCTCTTTTAGAAACAATTTTATTTCTGATTTACTTCTTGGTTTCACTTTTAAGGACTAAGTTCCTCAGAAAGCATGGGTTGATTCCCATGAGTAAGCAAGCTCACGGGAGATTGCTCTTGACTTCTGTCTGCCTCTGTTGTTCCACAGATCAGTGTTGGAGGGGACAGTTATCCTTTGATCCATCTTCTTCAGAGTTGTAGTTAGGGAAATACCTCTCAGACTAAAAAAATGTATTTCCATTAAAGATTTTAAAATGCTTTCATACACATTTTCATGGGGAATTGGGGATGGGGGAGAGAAGCTTTCTTCCCTCCTTAACTCTGTCATAGCCCTATACTTAAATAACTGATTCTATGAAGGGAAGCTGAAATTTCAGTCAAGGTTCCCCCCAAACTGACAAATCTTTACTCTCTGGCTGGGTGTGAGTGGTGATTGTCATTCTTTTGTAGGATGTATCATTTCTGTTTTTTTGATTTTGTTTTCCAGGTTGGAATCCTGTGAATTAACTGCAGTTTGTTGTCTAAATATATCCAAGGCTCTCATCAAAAGCCAGAGCCTGATATTTCTGAATCTGTCGGCCAATAATCTGTTGGATGATGGCGTGAAGTTGTTATGTGAGGCCTTACAACATCCAAAATGTTGCCTAGAGAGACTGTCGTGAGTCTGTTTTTATAACTTCATTATGGTTTAAATAGGGAAAAGCCTGAGTCTTAATATTAACAGGCCCATTTGTCAGTCCTAGGTGAATTCTGTAAGTACTTCCTGTTTTGGTACTTCTTTTTCTGTGTGTGTCTGGGGATTGAATCCATGACTTTGTGTACGCAAAGCATGTGATATACCACTGAACTATACCAGCAGCCCTCCCTTCCTCTTCTACATGACTTTTAAGATAATTTTCTTTCTGATCAAGCTTATTTTCATTCCTTTTCTAGACTTTTCGTCTTCCTTTGTTTCACTCTATCCTGTACACGGCTACAATGATATTCACAATTGAAGTAGATTTGTTGAGGTTAATCCCATAGTAAAGAATCAAATTTATAAGCACCTGCTAATTTCCTTGTGAAGGAGAAGAGACATGGACTATGGAAATTGAAGGATCCTTTCCCATCTGTTTATCCTTCAGCTTAGAAAGTTGTGGCCTCACAGAAGTTGGTTGTGAGGATCTTTCATTGGCTCTCCTCAGCAATAAGACACTGACACATTTATGCCTGGCAGACAATGTTTTGGGAGATGATGGAGTAAAGCTTGTAAGTGATGCCTTGAAAAACCCACAGTGTACTCTACAGAGCCTTGTGTAAGTGTCTACTAGTTTTCATCCTTCCAATATAATATGCATTGTAAAGTATATTTAAAATTATGATATTGTTCAAATGTGTCTTCCACAATTCATGTATCAGAAATTTAATTTTGAATGCAGCAGTGTTGAGGTGGTGGTATCTTTCAAATGTGATTAGGTCATGAGAGATATTAGATATTTCCCCTCAATTTTGGACATCCAGCTTCCAGACTGTTAGAAATACATTTCTATCATCTATAAATTTCCTCAGGTGTTCTGTTACAGTAACACCAAGCTAAGATGGAGACATTAGGAACAAATTCTGACTCTTGTTTTCCTAGCTGTTACCCCTTAATGATGATGATGATGCTAATAACTGCCATGTATTGTATCCTTACTCTATTCTTGACACTGTGCTGAGTTTATTTAAGCTGTGCAAGGGTACCTGATGGTCTCAAACTGACCACATTCGTTCTAGGTAGCTCATACAGGTCAGAAATGTGAGGCTTAGATAATGTAACTTGTCTAACATCTCACAAGAAAATGATGAATTCAGAACTAAAGTTTACCAGCTATGCAACTCTGTCATTTGGGCTTAGAATGAACTTTTTATATAGGTATTTTTTTGTTTCTTGCACACATACACATTACATACTCCTTAAACAGAAATAATAGCATTCCATTGTATGGCTGAATCACAATGTGCTTATTCTGTTAATTTTTTCTAGATAATTTCCTAGACATAAAACTGATAAGCCAAAGTTTGCATTTTTTTTTTCTTTTTTGGGGAGGTCAGATGTTCCAGATAGGTTGTTATATTCCCAGCAGTAGTCTAGGGATCTTCATTTTAATGCCCCACTAGGTATTCACAATCTTTCTGATCAGTATTAGAAAGTTGAAAAATAACGTGTAATTTGATGTTGAACATATTTTCAAATGTTTTTGGCTCTTTATTCTCTAGGAATTGCTTCTTCATAGGTTTACTTTTCTTATGCATGTTTTCTGATATGTTATATTATGGTTATTAATATCACATATACTTCTTACATATTGCAAATAATTTTCCTAGCATGTTGCTTTATTTCCAGATTTCTCTATGGTTATTTTCATAATATAGAAATTTAAATTTTTCATAAGGTCAGATTCTGCCTCATGACTTCTGGAGGTTTTATCAAAATTGGAAATACCTTTCTTTAAAAAAAAATCCACTTAAGTCATTATCTCATGTTCTTAATGGTTTTGTTTTTAACATTTGCATGTTAAATTATGCAAAGTTTATTCCAATTTAACATTTACATGTTAAATTATTCCCAATTTTATCTTAAGATTTATACTTATCAGATCTGTTTACAAAAATAATTTATGGCATGATGTCTTGTTCTTATTGATTGAAAATGCCACTTTTATTACATATGAAGAATGCTTATTTTATTATGATTACTTCTATTATATGCCATCTGCCTGCTGCTCTATTCTGCAATAGTACTGTATTCAATATAAAAAGGTTAACGTTGGTTTTAGTGTAAGAAAAACTGAAGAACATGAATCCAGTCTATAATACAATTTGATGCAGACATAAATGTCCCATGTGAGACAGGCTGCTAGTCAGAGTGTCTGATTTGAGATTGGGTGTTGGCAAGTGATTATAACCTAAAATTTTTCAGATATAAAAATCTCTGGGCAGTAGAAGAATGCTTCCATCTTTCCTTACATTGTCCTTCCTCTAGGCTGAGGTGCTGCCATTTCACTTCACTGAGCAGTGAATATCTCTCAACTTCTCTTGTGCACAATAAGAGCCTCAAGCATCTGGACCTGGGTTCAAACTATCTTCAAGATGATGGAGTAAAGCTTCTGTGTGATGTCTTCCGGCAGCCAAGCTGTAATCTTCAGGATTTGGAGTGGGTTTTCTGGGACTTTACTATTGGGTAGTTTCAGTTACAGGCTGTCTTAAGGGTAGAGGAGATTTGGGGGGCGAGGTGAGGAAGGCTGAGATCTGAGTATCCAAAGTGTATAGAGCTGATTTTCTGTCATTCTGCCTGAGACAAGCTGAGGAAGTCTGTCCATCAGATTTTTACCCACTGGGTTTCTTTTGCATTGTTTGCTAGTAACATTAGACCTTCCCATGTGTGTTCTGGGTTGTAGATAGAGTGAGAAGAGGTTCAAATGTCTGGGCAGCTCTACTAGGACAAAGTTAACTAAGCCTGACAACTGAAGGGTTCACTTCTCTTTTCTATTTCTTACAGATTAATGGGTTGTGTTCTCACTAATGCATGTTGTTTGGATCTGGCTTCAGTTATTTTAAACAACCCAAACCTGCACAGCCTAGACCTTGGGAATAATGAACTGAAGGATGATGGGATGAAAATTCTATGTGATGCTTTAAGACATCCAAATAGTAACATTCAGAAGCTTGGGTGAGTTTGTAGTTGTATCATTAGGAAAATGATACCTGTTTGATGGCTGGTATAGATAGTAGTTTCATGTGTGGAGAGAATGAAAAAACAATGAGGACTAGAAGGTAAGTTACTCTGAGAAATAAGAATCTGAATTTCAAATATATGGGTCAATGTGTATTACATGTTCTTTGGTATAAAAGATACATATTAAGTAAATGGTACCTGTTTGGGCTTCTCCATTCATCCTTCAGATATTCCATTTGTTCTTGAGTTAATTTTTCTTTTTAAATCAAATACTTTACTAATCATCTTATATCTATAAAACACAAGGAGCTTGCAATCTAATAAACGCTGATCCTATGTACTTCTTATGTTCAATCTTGTGTTTAGTTTTTTACTTAGATCTTGAACTGATATTGGCTAGTTCATTTTCATCTGTACAACGTAAGTTATTGACCTCTAGGTCAGGAATTGGATTCTCCATGTGGGAAACCAAGACACAATACGTTTCAGCCTTTAGGAATTCAGTATCTCCCAGAGAAATCTTCCTTGACTCTTACAAGAGAGTGCTGCTGTTCCAGTGTTTCCATGCCTTTTATAATAATGCTGACATTGTAACTATCATAGAATTTTATCCTATTTTCAACCTAATAACTTAACCTGCTTCTATTTCATGGATGCTGGAAGAAAACACAATATTTCTTTCAGAAAAAAAGGACTTCATTAGAAAGAGTATCATTGTCAGTTCCCATTTTCCCCAGGCTTTACTGGACTGTCATGGAGGGCTCAGATGGATGCCTGAACATGCCACTGTAGAGCAAGTGAGAATAAGCCTGCTCTTCGTCCTGGAGAGAGATGTTACTTTATCATTTAGGTTGCTCCATGAAAATACAGCCCTGAGAAATGGCCTGGGTAGAGTTATCAGAAACTTGTGTTCTTGTTAGCAAAACATGTGGGAGAGTGACAGATCAATGGAAAAATGTCTTGTAACAATATCCATCCCTTGTTTCTATACAATACAGTATTAGCTTCTTGTGAATTTTCACATGAGTGTACTACTCCATTAGCCACTCTGATTAATCTACTCAATAGAAGCTGGAACCGTATCTGTTCAATTAATCCCACATACTATTTAATGAAAACCATGATAAAACTCCAAGTACAGAAAGAGGCCAACTTATAGTATTGATTTCAAACACAATGCTAGGGTCCTGGATTCAGCCAACTGAATAAATCCCAAAAGAACTAATAGGTCTTTCATCTGTTATGATCCACACAAAGGCATTTAGAATGACTTGCAAATCTCTGATTTCAGTGGCAATAAATGGGGCAAAATATGGACCCAAAGCAACCCATATCTCCAATAAGGGACATTAAGTGGTCCACTGTTCCCCACATACATAAGGCTCAAAAGAGCACAGGACACTCTAATTTGGGATGTATTGCTGTAATTGATTTGGGTCACCATTAGACTGGTTTGGTTAAGTGAGGTAGACAGTCACATTGATAATTACAGCTGATTCATTGGCCATACATAGTTTAACCCAAGACTGTTCTGGCATCAGGAAATCCAAGTGAAGTGAGGCTGTGCTGGTTGTTGTACTTATACACATATGATGGGGGTCCACATTGGGGTTTCCAATGATAGCATCAGGCACAGGAGAATAGCTCAGTGCCTCCTGCATCCCCAGGAGGTTTTCTGTTTATACAGCTTGTGGACAGACATGAAAACCCAGGCAGATTTCTGGGTGCAGCTGTTGCTGGATTTACAAAGACCAAATAGTTATTTTGCCAGGCTGTAGTGTTGGAACTTTGTGTGTGGTGGGGGGAATGAGAACTTTAATTGTTCTCCTTACTCTTTATACTTCTCAGGTTCTTGTTGTTGTTCCCTAATTCCAACTTGGTGGCCATAACTTCACTTACTCTTCAGCCATTCCTCACCCTTACCCAAACCTTTAGCCCAGTGGGATCTGGGGTAGAGAGATGGAAGCATCTTTACAATATTTATAGAGACTCCTCATCTCCCACACCCTTTATATTCCATATTCTATTTACTATCTCCTAAATAGCAAAGGCAATTATGAAGCAGATGGATCTTTCATTACCTTTTAAAATATGGTTGGAAATATGTAAAAGTCCATTTTAATATATTTCCTATATAGATACTCATTTTCTCTAGCAAAAATTCATTGAAGTTTTTTCTCTCCTTACTTCTTGGCAGGGACACCTTTGTTACTTGTTACATTTTTGTTGGTGGATGGATCTGCCACTGGATTTTCTCTTCTTTCCCTTTAGCCTGTTTGTAATTCCCCAGGCCCAATAGTGCACTGTCTTAGAACAGCTCTATAATAAGTCCTGATGTCTACTAGACGGAGTCTTCCAAAAATATTTCTGATGATAATCTTCAAAATAATTTTGACTCTTCTCCTTTGCATTTCCAAGTTAATTTTCAAATATCAGATTATCAATTATCATGCACAAGCACCTGCCACACCTACCTGTTAACTGGAATTGCATTGAATCTATCAATGAGTGAGTCTCTTGATATGCCAAAATGAAGTATTACTCAGTTTAAGTCTACCAATAAAGCTTACTAATTTTCCCGAAGTGGATGTATACTTTGTTGTTTACCTATTCTAAAACTAATGCCATCAAAAATAGTTAATTGCTATTTTTTTCATTGTGTTTCATAGATACACAGTTGGTTTTGTATGTTGATTTCATATATGTGGCCTGTCACATTCTCTTGTTGATTCTATTTTAGATTATTTTGGATTTTCTAGGTATACAGTCAGACCATTTGGGAATAATGTTATTTTCCTTTTCAGACCTTATATTTTTATTTTTATGACCTTAATAACTGTTAATATGTGATATAATATTAATATGCCCAGGGAGAGTGGGCTTCCTTCTGTTGTTCCTCATATCCAAAACAAAATTTCAGTAAATCACCCACTTATCAATTTTAAAAATTCTTTTATATACCTAGCTTGTGAAAAGTTTTTGTTTATATTTTAAAATTCTGAGTAGGTGTCTAACTTAAGAAATTTGCCAAACCTGTTTACATTTATTATATCAACCTGGGCTAAAAGCAACTCAGTCATGATATCTCTTTTGCGCGCGCGCGCGCGTGTGTGTGTGTGTGTGTGTATGAGAGGGAGGGACACTTATTTTGTCAGCATAAGTATTTACACATCTTTGTTCATAATGGAGATTACATTATTATTTCTTGTGCATTTCTTGCCTCATTAAGCTTTTGTATCTAAGTTGCAGTAATTTTATAAATTGAGTTTGGGAATATTGCTTCCTTTTCAGATTCCTGGGAGGAATGTAGTAAGACTGGAATTACTTGAATTTTGTAAAACTTTCTGGTGAAACTATATAGTTTCCATTGCAGATTGTTTTAAATCTAGATTATATTTTAAAAGTATGGTTAGGTTTTTTTATTGAGTACTTTTTTGTATGTTTTCTTATTGATTTTATCTATTTAATCCAAATTATAGAACTTATTGGCAAGTTTCCAATAATATTTTACTATCTGTTGAATGTCTAAATCACCAATAGTGATCTCTCTTCTCAATCCTGATATTGGTAATTTGAGCAGCTTCACATTTCATTTTTTTTTTCAAAGAACAACACTGATTTCTCTGTTCTACTATATATATATACTTTATATTTCATTAATTATATAATCTTATTTCTTGTACTTTCATTGGTTTTATTTTGGATTTTGCCATTTTTCCTAACTTCTTGAATTGGATGCTTATTTAGATCATATAACCTTACGTTTCTTTTTATTACCTTCATAACTGGCATACTTCATTCTGTAAGTATTGATATTGTATGCAGTGTTTTGTTTTTAATCTAAAATATTTTTAGAAGTCCCTTATATTTTTAAGACATATGGGTTGGGCTGGAGATGTGGCTCAAGTGGTAGCGCCCTTGCCTGGCATGCATGGGGCACTGGGTTCGATCCTCAACACCACATAAAAATAAAAATAAACATGTTGTGTCCACCTAAAAAACCTAAAAGTAAATATTTTAAAAAAGACATATGGGTTATTTTAAAATGTATTTCTTTTTCTTTTTTTTTTAATGTGGTGCTGAGGATTGAACCCAGTACCTCACACATTCTAGGCAAACACTACCACTGAGCCTATATTTCTTAATTTTTGAACATTAACCGCTAGCATTGTGATCTGAGAAAATACTGTATGTGATTTTAATCTTTTGAGATCTGTTGGCATTTGCTTCATGGGTCAGTATATAGTTAGTTTTTGTATATGTTCTACTGTGCACTTGAAAAGAGTATGTAGAGTTGCTGGTTGCAGTATCCTATGGTTTGCATATTAGTTGAACGTGTTCCTCAAAGATGCATACGCTGGCAGGCTGGCCCTAGTGTGATTGTGTTGAAGTGTGGAACCTTTAAGGGATGGGACCCAGTGGCAGATGATTAGGTTACTGGAAACAGAAGGATTTTTTTTCCTTTCAGATAACTTAGTTAATGACCATGAAAATATATTAAATCTCCATTATAATATTAGATTTGTATCTTTCACTTTCTGGTTCTGTTTTTCTTTTTATATTTTTGGAACCATTATTAGGGATTGAAAATTTAAATTGATTAAATTTCCTGATGAATTCTTGAAAACTCTTTGTTTTATAATGCTTTTCACCCTAAGGTGTATTTTATGTAATATTTATGAACGCTGTGTTATAATTAGTGTAACCACCTCTCTTCCACATTAACATGAATTCCGTGTGTATAGCAACTTAATTTTTTTATATGATCAGCACCTGCATATGTGCTTATGTAAACATAAGGTAAACCTTATGTTTACCTTGCACACAACTGTTCAATGGCAAGGTAAACATAAGGTGAAAATCATATTCAAATTAGTTGGTTGGTGAAACATCAGGTGCAGAAGGTAGTATATATACTTGCATAGTTATTCTTTGGACTATATTTATAGGCTTGTAATTCATAATAAGGGAAGGTATATGCTCAGCCTATAAATATCTAGTAATAATATTATGAGTACTTGTAATCCTTGAATTAGTATTCTTTTTTTTTTTTTTTAAGTTCTGAAATTCCACTCAAAGCTCACAGATCCTCATGTGCTTGCTCTCTGTCATGGGATAAAGTCATTTTTATCTTTTGTCTCTCTTCCCTACAGGTTGGAATACTGTAGTTTGACCTCTCTCTGTTGTCAGGATCTTTCTTCTACTCTTCTCAGCAACCAAAGACTGATAAACATGAACCTGACACAGAATGCCTTAGGGAGTGAAGGAATTGGGAAGTTATGTGAAGCCTTGAAGTCTCAGGAATGTAAACTACAAATTCTAGGGTAAGTCTTCAGTAGCTTCTCAGGAGAAGAGTTTCCAGTAATGAGAAATTTTGGGAACCACTCATTTATCACAGGCCTAAGAACCTGATTTGGATCCTTTGGAGGATTACTACTAGAACATTGAATTTTGAATGACACAATACAGCATAGTAGTTGAATTGAGCATTCTGGAACCAGGCTACCTGAGTATGGTTTCTGATCTGTCTTCTTACTAAATGTTTAATGTAGGATAATACCCCTATCACTGTTTTGGTTTCCTTATCTGTAGGTTAAATTATAAAATTGACATGTAGGATTATTGGGAAGATTACTGAATCAGTATAGGCTAAGTACTTATAAAAGGGCCTAGCATAACAAGCAATGAATGTGTTAGCTATTTTCAACATTATCATTGGTAGTACTATTTTGCTTGGATAGGAAAAGGTTCTTGCTACATTTAATTTTACTTTGACTACTGTATCTCCTTCACTGCATCTCTCTGTTCCCTTTCCTACTCACCATCCATGCTCATATTCTCTATTTTAAGAGACAGGTTTTGTTTTGTTTTTGTCTCTTTTACTGAAATTTCACAGAGGAAGTGGAAGGCTATAGGAAAATTGAGTTCAGGAAAAGAGATTTCACCTTGTTTTCTCAGGTTGTGCAAAGAGGCATTTGATGAGGAAGCCCAGAAGCTTCTAGAAGAGGTTGAAGTAAGCAATCCACATTTAGTCATTAAGCCCTATTGTAATGATTATGGTGAAGAAGATGGGTCCTGGTGGTGGTGTTCCTGATTTGAAGACCCTGACATTACTTGAAAAAATAAAAATTAAAAGAAATAAAACTTCAGAATGGCAAAGACTTTGGTTCTTAGCATAATAAGATAATCTCTGCACACAAATATTGCAGGTGACATGTTAGATACTGATTAGTCACTTCTCTGTAAAACATTGGTTCTACTTGATACAAGTCTTTAATAGGCTAAAGGAAATGAAAAAAAAAAAGCTCTCTGAAAAGTATATCATGTTTTTAGTTGGATTCAAAACTTAAGAACTCGGGTAGGAGAAGCCTAGAAATAAGACCTGAGGATGGGACTGGAGAATTTTTTTTAAGTGCTTTCTTAGGATTTATAAGGTAGGGGCTCAGGAATTAAAAGGATCAAGCACAAGTTGACAGTTCTCTTAAAAGCTATGCCTGTAGCATAGGGGAGCTGTAGCTCAGTGGAAAAGCACTTGCCTAGCTTATGTGAGGCTCTGGGTTTGTTTCCCAGAACTGAAAGAAGAAAAAATAACCAGGCCCAGCCTGATATAGTCTCTTCTGTCATTTACCATTGGTGAAAACAGGCCAGTAAGATTTAAGGTCAGCTAATTATTGATGGACATTGAGTCAAAGAATTTGCTTTCCTTACTCCACTCAAGATTCCATCAAATTTTTTTTCTCCCTGCCTCTTAATTGGTTGTAAGGGAAAAGCAAATTCTTCTTTTACACAGTCAACACTCACGTTTCTAGTTATCCAAATGTAGGTCTTTCCTACACCAAACAACTTTCTGACACTGGTGGGGTATCCTTTCATTCAGTCCTGATTTTATTTATCTGGATATAGTATCAGATATCACAGGGTAAGGTTCAGTCCCACAGGACTTCTCCCCACTTCAGGTAGCAATTGCAAGTAAATCAGGGTTCCAAAAATCCCCACTTGGGTTTGATAATTTGCAAAATGGCTCAGAGAACTCAACACTTAAGTAAATCCATTTATTATAGAGCATATTAAAAAGGATACAAATAGCCAGATGAAAGACATATAGGGTGATATTTGAAAGGCTTCTGTCCTAGTGGACTTGGGGTGTGCTATTCTTTTAGCATGTGGATGTGGTCAGCAACTGGGAAACTCTAAACTCCATCCTTTTGGGGTTTTTTGGAGGCTTCACTAGGTAGGCATGATTCGTTAAGTAATTGGCCATTGGTGATCAATGTGCATCCCATTCTCAGTGGAGTCAGGGTGGGACTAAAGGTTCCAACCCCCTAATCTCATGGTTGGTTCTAGCCACCAGACCCCATCCTGAGGCCATCCATTCACTGGTTGTGTCATCATAAAGCAGACACTTATCATTTCAGGGTTTCCAAAGATTTTAGAAACTGTGTACCAGGAAACAGGACACAGTATCATACTGGTATAATAGCCTCTGGGTCAATGTGGCAGGGCTGGCAATAGAGGGGACCATGACAGAAGGGGAAAATGACAATCATGTAAAAATTACAGGTAAATTTAAGTAGTAACTATTGATATTTGGCATAGATGATACATGAGGGAGCATTACTGAGGTTGAATCCTAATGAGGATAGTCATGTTGGTTAGAGAAATCTAATCTGGGGCTTTCACAACAAATTGAAGTATACAGCAGGGCAGCAGCAACCCTTTCATGTGCCAGTCTTGCTGCAGTGAGCAGCTCACCCCATACAGAAAACAGGATTTCCAAACTCCCTGCAAAAAACTCCAACACAGGTAAATGCTTCCTATCAAAGTGATAATGTCAGATAAAGGAAAATTCTTGTGTTTCTGAAACTTTCAGAGCTTTATAGGGGAATGTTATAGTCAATTTGTTTTATAAGACAGGAAAATATTTGATAATGGAACTTAAAATTAGCACTCCTGAGAAATATACAAATGTCTCTTATGACTGCAAAGAAAATTCTGAAAATTCCAAAATTCAATTGAAATACATTGACCACTGTGATTTATAACAAAAGTGCAAGAAAAGACCGACTTGGCTTTTATATGAATAAAGAATACTTGCCAAAGATTTATCAGTTAGTAAAGGCATTAGTAAGATCCTAGTTCAATAAAGCATTTGAGAAACAAGGGTATATAACTTTAGAAAAAAAATTTAAAAATGAATAACATTACTAGATGGATACAAAATTGGTTAATGTCTTAAATGATAACTTTGGTCTTATCATTTCAGACAAATGATTTGTACTACTAGCCGACAAGAATTATTTTCATTTATATCAGGTTCCTACTAATTAATCTGTACCTTTACAGAGTTGTAAATCTCCTGATCAGTAGCCAAATCGAAAATTAAAAGAAATGCCCCTAGAAAATCAGATAATCTCCAGCCTGCTAGACAATACCTACTACTATAACAAAAGAATACAGATTTACTTCTTTTACCCATTTTGAGGATTTGGATATTTTTCCTAACAATGCTCACCTCTTAGAATAGTGGGTTACAACAGGGGTTAGAGACAGATCCCACTAAGGGGTCATTTTGGCTTGTTACAAGTGAGGTATCTACTGGCATCAAGTGGGTGAAGCCACGTATACTGCTAAACATCCTATCATGCACAAGACAGGTTCCCACAATAAAGCATCCATGTCAATAGTGCCAAACTAAAAAACTCAGAATAAGGTCTGGAGCTACAGAGTTGAGATTTTTATGGTCAGCCTAATTTGGGGCAACGGGGTCAGAATTACAGCCCTCTCCATACCCTTCAACCATCTGTTCACGTGGAAAAGCTGAAATCTGAAGTATGACAATTTTGTAATTAGGATTATAGAAAGTAGAAAATAAGGGAATATGGAAAGAATTAGAAATGTAAACCTGGAATCAAAATGTGGGACTTAGTCCTATTACTCCAGTTACAAAATCTGTGATGTTGGAGAATGTAATATACTTCAGTTATCTATAATAGGAGGCTAGAAATATTATGTGTCACTGACACCCTTGATTTATAGCTTATAAGAAAACAAACTTTAAAGAGTGAAAAAGGAGGGAGGTGATGGAAGTGACCATTTGTACCCTTCTGTCATCAATATGCTAGAATGAAAGAGCAAATTATAAAAGGGAAACTGAATGGATATCTCTTCTTCCAATCTTTCACATTTTAAGTCATTTCCTGTCTGGTATCCTGGGCTTCTCTTTTACTGTGTTCTACGCCCATACCACTTTTGAAGTAGTTTTCTTTAAAGAGAAAACTGTATCTGTATACTCAAGTCTCTCTTCCCCTCTTTCTACCTCTGCCACTACAGCAGCCTCATCTCTTGACCTCCAACCATGATATAAACTGACAACAGCACTTTCAAATATAAAGACTGTTCAGTTCATTCTGTTTTCCTTCGCACATACCATTCTCTCTGTAATATTTGTTTTCCTTATTTTTTATTTTTCTGTAGCTCATGATGGATACTCTCAGTGAATAAGTATCCTTTTAAGAGCAAAAGGTGAAAATGATCAGGTTACTCTACAACAATGGGGAAGGAGAAAGACTGGACTCATAGTTAGTACTTTTATCTCTTTCAGGTATAATTAAACAGCCCACCTTACTATTTATCTTCACTTCAGAATTTTTAACACCTTGTACAGTGCCTGCTTTATAGTGGAAGCTCAATATTTTTTGAATGAATGAAAGACAAATGGATGATGTTAGAGCTGGACCAGGTTTTCCTTACTCAACTTTTTTTTTTTCCCAAAAAAGCCATTCTCCCCTCTCACTTTTCAATTCCTTGAGTTCTCCAAGTTTTCACAACTTGGACCTTTGCATAGCTTCTCCTCTGCCTACTCAGCTCCTCTTACCACTTCTCAGAGCTGGCTCTACACCATTCTTTATCCTACAGTTTAAATATTGCTTCCTTGGAGAGGCAGAGCTCTGCATCTTAAATGCTGCCATCACCTCCCCTTCCTAACAAAGCATCGTGTTTTTCTTCACTTCCACTCAGATTGAACTATTTCTGCATTGTGTGTGTGTCTCCTTTTGAGAAAGTTCAATGAGGATCAGAAACATGGCTCTTTTGTTCACAATTGTATTTCCGGTCCACACCATAGTGCCTCATTGTGGGCTCTTATTCAGTAATGAATGAATGGATTTTAAAAAAAAGTGGATGGAAGCAAAAGTATCCAACTCTTCTGGAAACATTCATTTCGAATCTCCCAACTCTGCAAGGCAGGATATTTCCCCTCTGAATCCTGCTGCTTGGAAACACTGTCCTTAAACGCCCCCCTCTGGAGACATCTGGAATTGCAGTCTTCACATAGAGAGCAAGTCTCAGGACTCTCTCTATACAGGGAGCCCAGCGTTTCTACTTTCTAGTTGACTTTTGAAATCTATTATTTAGTTGGGTGAGGCGAATCAGCCCTCAAGTCCAAGGACGAGGCCGAACGGGAGGCCAGGGCCAGAGTTCTCTCTGGGTGCCCGCGGTTCAGGCGGGAGAGGAACTGTGGAGCTCCAGGCACCTCAACTCCAGGCCTGGCCTTAGGTGGTTGCAGCACTGGCAGCCCAGCTGGGCTTGCTGGGAGGGGGTCGCAAGTCGTTCTCTCCAGATCCCCTACCCTCTGTGCCCCTGAATCAAGGCGATTCAGAACCTGTAGGAGGTGCCACAGAGAAGCTGTCCCAAGCCTGGTTTCCATCTCTGGAGAAAACAGGACCGTGGACAGCGCTCATGGGGCGGACCTAAGCAAATTAAGATTTGCTTAATTTGGAATTCTTTGCTTGCTGAGGGCAATTTCACTCCTCATAATGGAGCTAAGGTCCTAATCTCTGAAGCCAGTTTCCCAAAGACAGGCAGAAAGTGGATACTTGATATTAGTCATTGAAATTATGTGTAAATTATTATTATGTGTAAATTAAGGAAATATTTATGTGTAAATTATTATGTATAAATTAAGGAAACATTTAAAGACAACTAGACTTTTAGTTGATGTTTGAATTAATGAGGAGATGCCCTAGTGGTCAAAATTTATAGACAGAAATAATGGTGGTTGCCAGGGGCTGGGACAGTGGGGAGTTGTTTAATGGA